TGTGATGGATTTCTAGGTATTTGGGACAAGATCATGAACTTTTAACTGGGTGGGAATCCTAGGTAACTTCCAGAATTGGGATTCCACAGTTGTGCCAAGATGTCTGACTTATTAAATTGGAACTTTAAGGATCGTTTTGCCTTGGACTCTGATTTAATTCTGCATGATACTTGGAACGCTGACACTCTGTCTCTATCCATCTCTCTACCGCTCCCTCTCTATCGGTAGCTCGCTAGTTATCTGCATGATGGCAGTGTTCCAATATCTGAAGGGCTGACCCAAAGAAGAGGGGGCCAACCTATTCTCCAAAGTACCTGAAGACAGGACAAGAAGCAAGTGATGGAACCGAACCTGGAAATGGGGAGAGATTTTTTGACTTTTGAGAAAAATTAACTAGTGGAAGGTTTGCCTCCAGAAGTTATGGGTGTCCCCAGACTAGACATCCACTTGTCTGAAATGGTGCAGGGTCTCCTGCTTGAGCAGGGGGCTGGATTAAAAGACCTCCAAGGTCCCTAATTGTCTGTTATTCTCAGCTCAGCCAGAAAGAAAATCCCATTTTACTCAGATTTCAAAAACTTTTGAAATGTTAGTTTATGTTTGGGCTGCATTCCAGTCTGGTTTGAGATGAATCCTTGAGTCATGATGTTTTGATTCTCCAGGAAATCTCGAGAGAATTTGACTCTTTTTTCCTCCCCTTTCCAAGAATAAGACCTTGGAAGGCTTTCCTGCTTTTTTTGCTCTGCAGATATATGTGATTGCATCAACCATTGTTCCCCAGCTGGTGTCCCTAGTTTAGCTGGCATATAGCCAATATTTAATTGGTTATGCCATAATGAGATTGGGCAAGTGGTGACGTTGTGTGTTTGTAAACCTAGCCAGTGTCTCTTGAAAGCTGCAATATGTGGCTTGGGGCGTGTTTTTACCTGTACAGGTAGTCTTCGAATTAGGACCATAGTTTCCATTGAAAGCAAGGAAGTTATTTCTGCTCATTTTACGACCGTTTTTGACACAGTTGTGAAGTGAATCACTGCCGTTGTTAAATTAGTAACTGGTGTGAAGTGAATCGGGCTTCTGAATTGACTTTGCTTGTTGGAAGGTTGCAAAAGGGGAGATCACGTGACCCCGGGACACTGCACCCGTCATAAATATGAGTCAGCTGCCAAGCGCCTGAATTTTGATCACGTGACTATGGGGATACTGTAACGGCCGTAAGTGTGAAAAATGGCCGTAAGTCACTTTTTTCAGTGCTGTTTGAGCAGTCACGAAACAAACGATTGTAATTTGATTAGCTTTTAGTCTACCACGGTTTTGTGGTGGAACCTCCCTTCCAACCCTGTGATTCATTATTATTTTTTTCACGGAGGGGCTATGAAGGAACCTCAGAGTAATGTTTTATTGTTAACTTTGAGTACTGTTCTTTTTAGAGACTGATATTTTGAAAATCAGTTCCACTATCTCCCGAAACTGCTCTTATCAGCTTCAAGGTTGGGTTGACCCTTTCCTGTTATTGGGTGTCCTTGTATTTTTTCATTGTACCGTATTTTTCAGAGTATAAGACGCACCCTTTTCCCTCAAAAAAGAGGCTGAAAATATGGGTGCGTCTTATATGCTGAATACAGCATTTTTTGTCACCTGAAACCCCGCCCCCCCCTTTACCAAAATGGCCGTGCGTAGCCTTTAGGACAGTGATGGCGAACCTTTTTTGGCTTGCATGCCATAAGTGGGGGGAGAGCAGGAGGGTCGTGCACGGGCGTTCCGCACCCATAATGCAACACACAACCCCTTAGTGCGCATGAGAGATTCTCCCCCCATTTTTGCATGCTTTTTTCGCCCTCCCCAGGCTCCAAAGGCTTTATAGGAGCCTGGGGAGGGTGAAAACAGACTCCTCCGCCCCCCGAGCCCTCCGGAGGCTTCAGGGACCTTCAGGAGGCTTCCCTGAAGCCTCCGAAGTGCAAAAAACTACCATACGAACAAACCAGCCTGTTTGCTTGTAGGGTTGGTTTAAGCCCTCCTGAAGGTCCCTGAAGCCTCCGGAGGGCTTAAATCGACTCTATGAGCAAACCAGAAGTCCATTCCCGAATTTCCGGTTTGCCCCTAGGGGCGTTTTTTTGCGCTCCGGAGTCTTCAGGGAAACTCCTGAAGCCTCTGTAGGGCTCTTTTCGCCCTCCCCAGGCTCCTACAAAGCCTCTGGAGCCTGGGGAGGGAGAAAAATGGCTTTTAAAAAGGCAGAACTCATGCGCGCTGGCCAGCTGACAGGCCAACGCCTCGCATGCCCTGACAAATGGCTCTGCGTGCCACCTGTGGCATGCATGCCATAGGTTCGCCATCCCGGCTTTAGGAGGCTTTCAGAGAGCTCCTGCGGGTTGGCAAGGGCAGAAATGAGCGAGAAACTCACCGGTTTTTGCTCAATTTTACCTCCCCCAGCCCCCAGGAGCACTCTATAAGCCTTCTCAAGGCTATTCATGCCCTTTTTTGAAAAAAAAAACAACGGGCTCGTTTTTGCAAAAAGAACAGGCCATTTATGGGAGGTTTGCAGAGCACAACTTTTTTAAAAATTTGCCTCTTTGAAACCCTGGTGAGTCTTATACTCCGGTGCATCTTATACTCCGAAAAATATAGTAAGTTACCACAATAAATAAACAAAATGCTTAGAGTACACTAAATAAGACGCCCAGTGGAACACCTAATACAGACCAAGGATAACATGATGATAATGCCTTTTCAAGGGTTGGTGTGCTTGTAACTTTGGGTTGGAATCCTTGGTTCTCTCCAAGCTCAGCTTCCCTGAGTCTCTCGGGAATAGGGCAGCCTACAAATTGAATAAACCCTAAACCCTAACCCCTAGTTGTTTTCTTGCAGGCATTTCATGACCCAACCAGCACTGATGAGGTTACCCAGTTGGGTTGTGAAATGTCTGCAAGAAAACAGCTAAGCCCCACCTCCTCCTCTCCACAAACTCCACTTCCTTATGCAACTGATGAAGTTACTTAGTTGGTTCATGAAACTTCTGCAAGAAATCAATGGACCTCAGAGATCACCAAGGAGCCCACAGTCTTCCTCCTCTTCCTCCTCCTCCTACGAATGATGGTAACTCTTTGAAAGAAGAAAACAGAGAGCACCAAGGACTGCACAATTCAACCCTGAGCTAAAAATTTTCTGTTCTGTTAGTAACTTCGGGGTCTCCTGCCTCTCTTCCTTTTAGCATGGAATATTCTCAGTTGGGGGGTCTCCATGTCCCATATAAGCTCACTTTCTTTGTTTTAAGGCTGGCTCTATCACCATAGACGTTCCTTTGTGAAGGGACAAGTCATGTACCCCAGGAACGCCTGTAGCATTCATGACACATTTTCAATGTTTCAAATGCACCTATGGGTTAAACAATGGGCAGATCCTGATACTAGCAATAGCAGTTAGACTTATATACCGCTTCATAGGGCTTTCAGCCCTCTCTAAGCGGTTTACAGAGTCAGCATATTGCCCCCACAGTCTGGGTCCTCATTTCACCCACCTCGGAAGGATGGAAGGCTGAGTCAACCCTGAGCCGGTGAGATTTGAACAGCCGAACTGCAGAACTGCAGTTAGCTGAACTATCCTGCAGTGCTGCATTTAACCACTGCGCCACCTCGGCTCCTTATGATATGATCATAAGACACCAATAGGAGTACATAAGAGGAAAGATGAGAAGAATAATTGTAACACAGCCATAATACACGGGTAAACGTCCTTAAATATAAGAAGCGCTGTGGGAATCAGGTGTTTAGCAGAGTGATGGCACAGGCAAAAAAACCCTGGTTGTTTCGGCATGGGTAGACAATCTGCGACATTGCAATACACAACAGAGGAAAAATAGGCAATCTCCACAGATATCCCCTGACTCTCTAATTGTTCTTATTTCTGCAGGCTGGAGGACTCCAACGCCCTCTCGCTGAGTGTCTGCAGCCGCACCTCCATTTGTGTCCTCGGCTGACAAAATGCCACACCTGAACGGGATGGTTTCTGGGCTGCAGAGCCAGGTGTCCCTCCACCTCGCCTGCTCCAAGTGCAGCCACCGAGAGAATGAGAGCACCTACCGGCTGAAAGATGTGGACCACCACTGCAGGACGGAGATCTTGCTGGCCAGGTGCAAGGGGGCGAGCGGCATCCAGTGGCGCAAAGTGGACAGGAGGCCCTCCTTCCCCAGACCGGCTTTCTACGACATCTGCCGGTATTACGTTCCTGGTTTGGGCTGCACCAGACACCGCAACTCCTGCACCTTTGCCTGGAGCCGAGAGGAGGTGATTGTGTGGACATTCGAGAGGAAATACAACTTGGAAAGGCACAAATTGAAGTGGCTGTTGAAACAGGCCCAGTCGGGCGTCACGCCCAGCGCCCAGACTAAACCCCATGATCTTAGCAACCCAGAAGAAATCCTCAGTGAGTTTGGGGGTTATTTCCAGGAAATCTGCGGACCTTGTTTTTATAGCCGTCCCCAGCGGATTTCACCCAAGGGCTCTGCTCAGTGCAAGAGTCACTGGGGCTTCCTTTTGGTTCATGTGATTGCCGACGGTAAGAAAAAAGAGCAATATACCGAAATTCGGCCCTGTCCGACAAGCAGGAGGCACTTTTCGTACTGTCCGTCCGTCTCAGCCGGCAGGTCCTGCTGGAATAACTCTCAGTCCTGCAGTTTCGCCCACAGCGATGTAGAGCTGGCCATCTGGAAGGCAGAGCAAAGATGCGGTCTGGATCGTGCCAACCTGCTGTGCCCGGCAGCGGAGGAGACGGCAAGCTCGCCGGACGCCGCGCCGCAATATCAATTCTACTGCCGGGTTTGCCTGGTGACGTGTGATTCCCAGCAGAGCTTCGAGAACCACTGCTCGTCCGTGGAGCACACGCAGCTGATCACCACCGACATGCTGACTGAGTGGAGTTATCGCGCCCCTCCGTACGATCCAAAGAACTTTGCTCTTTGCAGCCGGTAAGTGAGACAGTTCAAGAGAGTTTTTGCTTTGGAGAACCAGGCGTTGGGTTCAGGATTATGGGTGGCATTTGGAGTTTGCTCCTGGTCCTTTTTGGATTTGGATTGGATTCGATTTATTACATTTATGTGCCGCCCTTTTCCCCGAAGGGGACTCAGGGCGGCTCACAATTCAAGT